TAGGGAGACTATACGATATTTACACATGTGTGTCTGGTTTATTTCACTTATGAGTATATGTTCAAGTGGCATCCACTTTAATATAAAGGCTTGCAGTAACGTCAGGTTTTGCAGTTGCTGTCGGGCTCATCGGGGGCCTTTTTGTGGAGGCTGGTAGCCTAACTGAGGCCAGCTCTGCTAACTCTGTGCACTTGACAATCCCCAGATACAGGGATTCCAGCTTGACACCCGGTAGAGCTGGGGCTTGCGCTTATATCCGTGGGGTTGCGAATCGAGCCGGGCGACCCTTGCATCGGTACCTTCAGTGCTGACTCAGAAGGAGCGTAGGACTCAGCCCCGTGGCCCCTCAGTGCCGGCTCAGCGCTGGGTGCAGGAGAACTGGGGCTGCGCCCTCCAGCCCCTCATCATCGCCCGCCTCTTCGGGTCTCCCATAGCCGAGCACAGTGTGCTGTACCACTGTCGACTTGTACCTCCCAGCTTGATCAATCAGAAGCAAACACTGAGAAGAAACCGAGCCCAAGTGGCCTTCGGACTGTGTTAGAGTTAATGTACTACCCTGGAGCAGAAATGGATTCGTGCCTGGTCAAACACGGAAAAGGATCTAGTGTCAGAGAAGCCCGTGAGTCTATGATGATATATCGTTCTTGGAAAAACATTGTCATTGTATTCACACCAAGAAGGAGTTACCACAGTAGGGCAGGAGATGCGCGCAGCCCTTCATGGAGGTGTTCATGTAAGGTATTCAGGGAACAGAGCCCACGCCTTTAATCCCAGCACTGAGGGAGGCTGAGGCGCACTGATCCCAAGTTTGACTTCACCCTAGACCCTGGCTCAAAATTAAAATAAAAAATAAGAGCGGGGGATATACACAGCGCAGCATGAGAACTCTCAGCTTAACTTTATCAGAGAGAGAGAGAGAGAGAGAGACAGACAGACAGACAGACAGACAGACAGACAGACAGACAGACAGCTGTAATGGAACATAATGCAAATTTGGAAGGTCAACACCTATGGGGATAGTAGAAAATGATGAAACCCACTTCAAAAAGAGGAGAATAATGGCATGAAATTATTTCAACACCTTCTGGTTCATAAGATGAAGAACTGGAAGCTGTCTGCCACTCTGACCTCCCATCTGGAATCGCACCTGGAGTCTCCGCACTGGGAGCCTGGGACAAGAGGGGGAGAAGTCGGGGGGAGGGGGCGTACACAGGACGGCAAAGTCAGTTCCAGCACGGGTGCCCAGGGAGAGCCAGTGAGCAGGCAAAAGCGATGAGGGCATGCCTGATTCCCTGCAAAGCTGTTCTTGGCTGTAAGCGCTTGGTCCTTCTGTTTTCATAATCTACCCTGAATCCTTGTGTTTGATTGAGACTGTTCCATTGAGTAGATAATTTTTTTTCTACTTATGATCAACCTGTTATTTCTTTATGTAGCATTTAGCATGTTTATCTTTTATGTAGACCTTGGGATTTCATTTTATTTATATTTAAGAGACAGGCCCTCAGTGTGTTGCCCAGGCTGGCTTTGAAGTTCTTGACACAAGCAAGCGCCCTACCTCAGCCTCCCAAGTAGCCGGAGGCTACTTGCAATTTGGATCTTAAGTTTTGAAACATGAACTACTACTGTCTTAGCAATAGTAAAGAGATTTGCTCTCTGAGGGCTGGTTGTACCAGTGATGTAAGATGAGTCCTAAACTAAAGGAAAATGGGGCCAGGAACAGATGGGCACCCTAAACGGCATCACTGCGCCTGCGGCTGACGCTGCAGGCACTGCCGTTCGCTTCACTGCTGTAGCACAGCCAAATTCAGGACTGAATTTCCCTTCTTTGCTGTCTGATTTACAGAACAAAAGTAAATTTTAGACAATCTAATGTGAAATCTAACTTCACTGAACGCTACTGGACACCAGCATATGCATTTATACTGTGGGTTCCAATTATCAAAAATCTTTTTTTCAGATTTTTTTCCTTCTCTAGTTCAGAAAAGGGGTCAGACTGGCAGTCAGCAAACTCCAGTCTCTATTCGTTTGGTCACAAAACTGTAGTCCTAAAATTGTGGGTCACAAAATTGCTGTGCTACCCGAGACTGGTGCTGAGACGGTTACCCAGAAAGGTGCCCGAAGTGAAGGACCTGATTGCCCTCTTGCGGATTTCAGGGCTGCAGTGCAGGGCGGGGGCTGTTCGGCTCCTTACCCTGTTGGGCTGTGCGCTTCAATCCCTCTGAGAAGCTGGCAAACCTGGCAGTAGTGTCTTCAGTGGTCCTCTGTCGCAGCTGCTTATTAAAGTCAGCCGGGTGCGTTTCAGTCTCCGAGCCTGAGCTCTGCCATACACAGTGCAGTGAGAATGTTGGGGGACTCGGTGTCAGTACTTGTGTTTGCCTGAGACTGTCCCATTGAGTAGATAATTTCTTTTCTACTTACCATCAGCCTAAGCATGGTTCTCCCCATGCTTCCTCTTGGGGACTGTGGCTGAGAAGCCACTCCTTGATCCAACCGTTCTGAGGATCTTCCGGCTGTAGTAAGGAATCACAGATTAGTGAGTTGTGGCCCTGCTAATCCTCAGTCAGCTCCGCCTGGGGCACTGCAGTGTGGCCTGGCTCACTACCCAGCTCAAAAGGCTGCCTCCGGGTCGCCCTGGGGAAAGGTGACGGGGTGGGGTGGGGGCGCCGGCTGGGAGGTGGACGTCTCTGGGATTGGCACACTTCCTCTCCCGACTGTTCCTGCGTACTTAGGCCCATTAGGGACATGTGTCCTGTTGGGACAACCTCATTTCCTAAATCAGCGTGGCTTGGCTGTGCTGGAGGCCGCGTGGGGGAATGTGGAGCTCCTGTCGCCCTGGGGACTTCCCGAGGCTTCTCTTCCTGGGAGGCAGCTCTGCTGATGCTGGACTTTCTCCTTCTTGGCCTCTGCACAGCAGCACGGGAGTGAGAAAAGCCCGTGCCCTGGGCAGTTGGGAGGTGCAGGGCTTTCGGTCCTAACTCCTCCTTTGGTCTGCCCGCCTGCCCAGCCCCCCCCCCACGTGACCATTCATCAGGTAGCCCAGTGGGGGGCTCCCTGGGTAGGCAGAGGCTGCGATGGTGAGGTCTGTGACCTCTGCCCAGGTCCCTTACTCGGAGCCACGCTTTTGCCACCTGTTAGAATTCCTTCTCAGGATTTAGTCAGGATTCACTGTGAAAGGCTCTGTGAAAGGACTGCTTTGAAAATGAGGTGGACTGAAGAAAGCGTCTCCACCTCCGCCTCCACTGCCTGCGGGAAGGAGCGCCCCAGAAAGCCCACCCTGAGCTGTCATTTCCCTCTCTGTCCCTCGGTAATCTCAGAGCCTCTCCTAAGCCCAAGCCGCGCACAGGCCGCTGCTCCCTGGGAGTGGACTGCGGTGCCTCTTGCCGTCACAGGTTCCCACTCACCACGATTTTCAGGCCACGTCCCTCGTTTCATGTTTGGCCTTACGTCTGTGTGTCATGTTCACGGTAAAGCTGTCGCTTTACTCCAAGGGAATGCTTTGCTTAGGCTGAGCAGCACCTGCTTTCAGCCTACCTGGAGGATTTCATCTTGTTGCAGTTGAGTTAGGTTCAGGACACTTCTGCTTTTTATAGCTTCCCCGCTCCCCTTTGTATGAGGTTTTTTTTTAAATTAAAGGTTAAAATGTGCTGAAACTCTCAAGTAATCGGTCTCATGAGCCATCGTTTTATGTCCATTGACTAAGGCTCCCTGTGATCCTGTCCTGCCGGGGACAGTGAGCCCACCAGTCATCAGGAGGACACGTATGGCCACCAGTGGGTGGGAAGGGATCTGAGTCCGGTGTAGGAGTGATTCTTTAGTGCCCTCAGTGCATTTTTTTAAAAGTTGGACATGTGTGGCTGGGGAGATGGCTCAGCGTTCTAAGCGCCTGCCTGAAAAGCACAAGGTTCTGGGTTTGATCCCTGGTACCACATGCTCTGCCAGCCCCGGAACCCCAGGTGCACCATGCAGGCCACTGCACTGAGCGTGGTAGTGCACAACCGTAATCCCAGCGCTGGGAAGGCTGAGACAGGAGGATCCCAAGTTTGAGCCCCACCTGAAGTGGAAGTGTTAGTGGAACTTCTGCTTAGATAAGCATGTTGATTATATTTGGAAGGGCTGGGGCTATAGCTCAGTGGCACAGCACCTGTCTGTCATGAGTTCAATTCCTGGTAGCAAAAAATAAACAAACATGTTTGGATGCAAAATGGCCTCATACCCAGAAGTGCCTTGCAAACATCAAAGCTGGCCGCCTTCCATCTCCTAGTTTTCTTTCTCTCCATTAAAATATTTTTTTCATTAAAATATTTTTAGCAAGAGATTTTGCCAAATAACTCACATTAAAGTATAAACAGTTAATAAAGTTCTGCGTACATCTCTCCCCCCAAAGTGCTCATGTTGCAGGGGTCAGTGTGTCACACACAGCAAGTCCGCAGAGCTGCCTCTCGGGGCCTGGGCTGTAGCTCGGGGTGATGGCTCCCCAGTCCTGCGTGAGGCCTTAGATTCCACGCCCTGGACCACAAAGACAGTGTGTGTGTGTTCTTTGCGCTGAATGCAGACACTTGCAGCCCTGTGTGGGACGATGCAGCCTAACTCGGGGCTGCTGGCCCAGGCCCGGCTCTGTATTGTTCACGACCTGACTGAAGCATTGCACCACGCAGCGTGCATGGGATCATCATGTGTCCTGCTGATATGGACGGTTTGTAGTTTTTCCCATGCAGTTCTGGAGCTTGAACCCAGAGCCCCTGTGCTGAGCTGCACCCTTAGCCCTCTTTATTTTTTATGTTGAGACAAGCTCTCACTCCACTGCCTGGCTGAATCCAGCTTCCTGCCATCTTGCCCCAGCCTCCTCCAGGGCGGGATTACAAGCGCATGCCACCAGGATGGCCAGATGCCTGTGTGCTGACCCGCAGGGAAGAAGTGTGCCACAGTGCCTTCCCCTTTTCGGGTGCAGATGCCCTTGACAGCAGCAGTGGAGGAGGAGAAGGAGCGGAGCGTCTGGTTTCCGCGGCTCTCAGGCTCCTGTGGGCATCGGCCTGGCTGGAGCAGCCTTCTGGCCGCCCGCGGGTCCCTGTGACCTGCTTGCTGAGCCCCTTCTCTATGGCGCTGCTTCGCTCCCAGGGGCTCGGGTGGAGTGCAGAGGCGGCATCTCCGTGTGGGTTGCAGGCCTGGTGCCTCTTTTCTACCGGTCCTGCCATCCTTCTGGATCTGAGAAAGTGTCTCTTCTGGACAAGTCCTGTAGATCTGCCTAGTAGTAAAATAAGAAAGACCAGGAAGTTGCTGTTCTTGGGACTCTGCCCCTGGAGCATTCTGCTATCGCTGTGGAGGCAAGTTCCAGACAAGTGCAGTGAAAAAGGCGAGCAGTGCTGGTGGGGTTTCTCCAGTGGGAGTCCGAGTCAGCCCGACCTCACAGTGGTGTTCAGGTCTCTTGTGCCTGCCTGGCTCTCCTGGCTACGCATTGGTCCATGTAATGGTCCCCAGTTAGACTGGGTATTGCGCCTGGTTTCTCAGATGCAGAGTTTCCTATGCTGGTGCTACCGGGTGCCCGTGGGCATCCCAGGCTTCTCTGTCATCCGCTTTTCCTTTAGAAACCCTGCCTTCTTAAGTCCATTTCCACTGTGCTGT